ATTGCTAGTCAGTGACTATTGTTTTGGAAAAATGTCTCCATTTCTGACTTAAGCTATGTTACTTTTGTCTGTGGACCACAGTCACACAAAAATATATGTTCATTACAGAAGAAATCTATGAACATATACAGTGGTGGGCAAAAGTAGGTTCATAGTTGTAGTACAAATAACACAATAATCAATAAATAATACAAGAATAAACTCTGTTTTTTTTTTGTTTTTTTTTTTAAATATATTTTATTGAGTTTCTACAGAGAGGAAAGGAGAGAGATAGAGAGTTAGAAACATCGATGAGAGAGAAACATTGACCAGCTGCCTCCTGCACACTCCCCACTGGGGATGTGCCCGCAACCCAGGTACATGCCCTTGACCGGAATCAAACCTGGGACCTTTCAGTCCGCAGGCCGACGCTCTATCCACTGAGCCAAACCGGTTTCGGCAACTCTGTTTCTTATACTCCCAGCTATAAACCTACTTTTGCCAACCCCTGTACTTAATTTGCCAGCCTACGAGGAATTGTGATGATAATATTTACTGAGCTTTGGCTTTGTAACAGGTACTGCTGAATTCTTTAGTTGAGTTGTCTCACTCATTTGCACTGCTCTGCAAAGTGGTGAGTTACTTCTGTATCCCTACTGAGCAGATGTGAGGCGGAAGCTGAGAGAGCCCAGGAAACGGGTCCACAGACACACAGATAAGAAAGGATGCCGTGCTTCAGAGTTTAGGCTCTGAATCACTGCTCTTACCTTAAGCGGTTTCCAATTGGGAATTTGCAGATTAGCAATTCTCTGTAATTCACTTCTGCAGAAACTTCCCTCATTTTTCAAGTTCTAACTGTGTTATGGGGAACAATAAAATACCTGTAGAGCACTGGTTATCGAACTTGACTACATTCTGGAGTCACTTAGGAGTTAAAAAACAAACAAAACAAAAACTGGTAGCTGTGTCCCACCCTCGGATGTTCAGAGTTAATTTGTATAGAGTGTGGCCTGGGCATTGGGATTTTTGAGAATCTCCCAGATGATTCTAAAATGCAGCAGAGTTTGAGAACTCCTGCTTTGGAATAATGCAACATTTTAAATTCTAAATTTCTATTCTTCTGTTAGTAAAAAAAATAATAATGTTTTTATTAGAGAAGTGCTACATACTTACTTTACAAACTACAGACAACCAGTAAAAATTACAATTAAAATTATTTGTAATTCCTTCACTGAATAATAACCAGCATAGGACTTGCCTATGTATTTTCTTCTTCTGAGTATGTTCGTGTATTTAAAGCCTTACCTGTAATGTTACTCTTCTGTAGAATTTTATATATTTAATGCCATATTGCCTTTTATCTCTCTGACCTAGTCACATGCTTTATCAGACTGAGAAAATTTTTATTCTTATGCACATTTAGTAGTATTGTTGATTAGCCCTTATTGGCCAGTAACTCAAAGTAAAGCAGTATCTCTATTAATGGAGAATTTGTTTGTTATCTGAGGTAGCACTGAGAAGACGAACCGATAGATATATCTCTTTGTACTCCAACTTATATAGCACTTTTTCAGACAAGTACTAGTAAACCTTGGTTTGCTTCCTTGCCTTCCTTCTACGTTATTAAGGCACTGCCCGTGTGGTTCAACCCCCCTGGGCTCTGGCATGCAGTACACACTCAGTGAATGCTGGGGTGCATGAGCAAGCAGACAGATGTGCTCTGGGATCTGAGCTGGGAGTGGTGGTTATAGCCTGAAAAAAACTAATTACTGAAGAAAATCAGTAAAAAATTATTTGGGTGTGGCGAGCCAGCACGGCCATGGCATACTCAGCCCCAGGGCGCCTTATGTGCCGCGCCAGCTCAGCCTGGTTCAGTGACCCTGAGAGGGGGCGGTGAAGGATGGAGAAAAGACAGACAAGAGAATGAGCTGGGTATGGGTGGGATGCTGCTCCCAGATGGAGAGACAGCGGCCACGCCCACAAGCCATGTCTTTATTTTATAGCCAGATTCCACGAGGCAAAGTAAGGGCATGGTCAAGATGTTTACAGCATTCTCGTGGGTTTCCGTCCTACTCAATTACATGCACCCGAACTATATCAAGCCCACATCACTCAGACACGTGGGGCCACGTGTTTGGACCATAGGTTCAAGCTTACAACTACAGCTGTTGGCTATAATTGTGCTGGGGGGGCTCTGCCCTCCAAGCTGGGACTTGCACGTGGCAATGAGAGGACTCTGCCCCCTCATTAGTCCGAGGCTTGAACCTGTCCAAACACTGTAGCCGCTCTCCGCATTTGGGAATGGTGGAACAGTAGGAAGAGAGAGTAAGAGTAGGGTTGAGATGAGGACAGGAGCTAAGGGCCACTTTAGGAGATAGGAAAGATGCAGATTCTTCAAGAAACGTACAAAGCCCTCTAGTTCCAGAAATATCCTGGCCTTGGCCCCCAACAGGCTCAGTCTGAGTTCCCTGACCCCTCCCACATCTCTGTCTTTCTATCTCATCATCCTGCTCCTTTATCAGAATAAAAAAAGCTGAGTCAGATATACTTTCAGAGTAAGAACGAAAAAATTTTCTGGGTTTGCTGATCCCCAAATAGTTTCCTGATAAAGATTTGGAGGAGAAACCACTGTAGTATAATGGGGTTCAGTTAGGATACAACCAGAGCCTGTCAGTTAACAACCATCATTCCCTTTCCTACTGAGGTTGGGGACAGGGGAGAATTTAAGAAAAAGATGGGGAGGGGACTCAGAGCATTGCAGACTAATGAGGGGTTACCATCAAGGGGAGAGGGCCCATCTGCGAGATGTAACAGGTTTGGTAGGCAGCCTTGTCTTCAGATATGCTCGCTGAGGTACTTTTGGTGGTGCAGCCACAAAAGCCAGGCACCTCTGCATCGCATGATTTATGAACGATTTTGTTTCATATCCACTTCTTTTAGTGTGACTTTATAATCGTTAGATTTCTTATGTCAGAATTATAATTTATTTTGGCTCTTAAAAATTTCATTAGTTTTTAAATGAGACTGTCCATTTTAAACAAATTTTTATTTAAAAGGAAAAATTGCTGATGTTTTACGTCATCAGGGTGTAAGATATATGCATGATTTATATTGCTGAAATCCTTTAGCACTGAAACATTATGTGGTTCCAAAAGTGTCGAGAAAATTGAGCAGCTATTTCTCTATTCTTCTTTCTCTGTTTTTATTGAATTCACAATGACTTTTAAAGAATATAAAGGCATTAAAGATAGTTAAAACCGCAGACATCCTGCTTTACTTAGAATTAAACGAAAAACAAAAATGAAGAATAAAATAGCAAACCTGGTTTATTTATCTGAATAATGCTTATCTCACTACAACACCATAATGAAAGACAGGGAATCTTTATAGTTACGTTATATATTATAGCTAACTAAATAAAGAAATAAAATGCTAGAGGTGGTATTTCTTCAGGTAAATATCACATGTGTTCAGTCCAGTGAAACTTTGAGATTTCGAGAGTGCTGTGCCAGGCATAGAGCCAGGAGTGTATTATGATTTAATGGCATCGCTCTGCTGCTTTTGATGAGCTGGCCCAGAAAAACATTTGAAGCAATAAAGCATCCATTTGGCTCCTAAGTAATGAGGGAGGCATTGCTCTTCGCATTAACTATTCAAGAAGAAAAGTGACCAACTGCTAATAAGCTTTATCCAAAGGGGGTAGTGGAAAACAGAAGAAAGTGCAAAGGGGAGGTTCTGTTCAATTTCATATGCAGTTACCCAATACCCAGAGCTCCGCTTCCATGCGACTCTGGCCTGCTGTGTGAGTGGGAGTGCCTGTCAGATGTATTCAAGGCTTCCTGGTCTAAGGAAGGATTGTGTAGCCTAACCTAATGACAAATGAGAGGAGGCAATAACTGGTGAGTAGCTAAGAATGGGCTGATCTCTCTAGTTTTAAATACTGGACTTATTCTCTAAGATGAGCAGTAGTGATTCAGGCTTGATAGTTACTCCTTTTGGGAAGGGTTCCTTTTTTGTTTTTTAAAGATGATTATTGCTTTTTCATGACTTGGGAAATCTACTGTATAATGCAATATGTAGATTATCACTGGATCAAATGGCTTCTAACTAGAGAAAAATGTATTTGCTATGTAAAAAAGTATATCATTTATCATTTGAAAATAGTTTCAGCGTAAGAATATGATATTTTGCTCCTCTTCCACAAGTAAATAAATGGTCCCTTATTTGCAATAAATGCTTAGGATTTAGCAACTTCGAGATTACAACCAAAGTATTGTACTGACACACAAATAGGGGCTTTTTCAAGTCATCTTGGGATCTTTGAATCACTTTTGGTGCTATAACAGCATGAAGTTTTAATTTCACTTGCTTTACGATTCTTAATATAATTAATTTGCCCTCTTTAGTGACATAAAAAAAGATGAAAGTCAATTATTTTTTTTTCTTAAAACCAACTAAGTGACTTTTATGCTAATTCTTCTCCACTGCTCTTACTAAAAAGTAATACAGTGGAATTCTACACAATAGGGGTTGGGAGATCCTTCATATAAATTATATTAAAATAGGCAGTGGAAATATGTAAACCCAAAATTAGTTAATAATAGTGTTCTTGGTACTATTCTACGCCAATTACAAAACCATTTAATGGTGCATTCTTTTGATTTTCATTTTTTAAAAATTCCGCACTGATAGCTATGCATTCAATCTAAGCTTACCATGAATTATTTTGAAGGATATTTAAAAGTAATTTTCAAGGTATATTTTATGAAATATGAATTCATTGTTTATTTGGGTTCAAAGCCTTTGGTAAGGGTCTCAAAAGCCTGATAAATACATAGCAATGAGATCAGAATCATAAAAGGTTCCTTAGAATTTTTCTTACCTAGACCACATTGTGTCATACTCAGAGAACTAAACTCATTTACTTTACAGCAATTCTTTCTTTAGCAAGGAAATAAGGTTTTGCAATAATCTCTCTTGTTGGTCTTTAACAATCATTTAGATTGAATTATACCTTTCAGATAATCACTCCATTCAGAAGACTAATGCTGTGCGCTGAGAACAGAAAGGAGATGGAGGATTGGATCAGCTCACTGAAGTCTGTACAGACCAGAGAGCCTTATGAGGTAAAGTAACAGCTCTTCTGTCATCTCGTGTTCTTAGAGAATGCTAATTGAAGAGCTAACGCTGTATTCTGCAAAAATAGGTACGTATAGAGTCATTCAGCAACTTGTTTAAGCCTGATACTGCATTCTTTTTACTTAAAAAGGTTTTGTTTTTAAAATATGGGTTTGAAATTTTAATCATAACTATATACCTTCTGAATATTAAGTATCTGTAGTTTTGTTCACTTGTTTGGCAAATCTGTGCTAATGTCTCATTTCCAGGTGGCCCAGTTTAATGTGGAACATTTCTCAGGGATGCATAACTGGTACGCCTGCTCCCATGCCCGACCCACTTTCTGTAACGTGTGCCGAGAGAGCCTTTCCGGAGTCACCTCCCATGGCCTGTCCTGCGAAGGTACTGTAGCATCCAACATGTGTTGTCCTCAGACCTGACCATACCGCCATTGGTACTTTTGAGAAGTGAACAGAGAAAACCCACCATTTCCCTTGGGTGGAAGTAGTAGCTGGGAGCACCTCAGTGGGAACAGAGTGTTGATGTTTTACAGTGACTTACAGTGGACTATCTTGGGAAACGTTTGGCTCAGGAAAAGATAATATAAAATCATTTGAAAGGAAGTATAAATCAAAATGTAGCATTTGTCTCCTGAGGAACTAGGAACTACTTATTAAAAAAAACGTTCTTTAGACTTAGTGTGTTATCCCAGTTTTCTAGTATTCTTTTTCTGTTCCGATTGATTATGGAGTACAAAACTTTCTGTGAGGATGCTATATACTCTTTGGCAGAATTTCCAATTGTTACTTATATTGCAATAGAGCAGCGGTCGCCAACTGGTGGTCCATGAGGTCCAAAAAGTTGGCTACTGCTGGTTTAAGGAAACCTTTGGAGCAGCAGTCGCCAACTGGTGGTCTACAGACCACTGGTGGTCTGTGAGATCCGAAAGGCTGGTGACCGCTGCACTAGAGGCCTGGTGCACGGATTCGTGCACTGGTGGGGTCCCTTGGCCTGGCTTGCACCCTCTCGCAATCCAGGACCCCTTGGGGGGTGTTGAAGAGCTGGTTTTGCCTAGATCCCCACAGGCCAGGCTGAGGGACCCCATGGGCCTCTAGTATGCATATAAGACCTATGGTTAATCTCTTCCTGCCCTCCTCCCTCCCCACTTTCCTCTGAGATTCATCAGTCTGTTTCATGTTTCCATGCCTATATGTTGAGCATTTGCCCCCTGGTGGTCAGTGCACATCATAGTTACTGGTCAAACCGTTGCTTAGGCTTTTATATATATAGATTGTTTTAAACGCTGTTTTATTTCATTTATGTTTCATTTAAATTGATGCCATCCTTTTAATTTCCTTAAAGTTTTCTAAAAATAAAGCCTATGCTATTGTTTTTATAAAAGGATTTGTGGATTATTTTGAAATTTAAGAACAATGACCACGTAAAGGAAGTACATTAATGATTAGCAAGAGAAAATTCATAACTTCTTTTTTATTTTTCATCCAAATTCTTTTTTTTTTAATTAAATCTTTATTGTTCAGATTATTACATTTGTTCCTCTTTTTCCCCCCCATAACTCCCCTCCTCCCAGTTCCCGCCCCACCCTCCGCCCTCACTCCCCACCCACTGTCCTCATCCATAGGTGCACGATTTTTGTCCAGTCTCTTCCCGCATCTCCCACACCTCTTTCCCCCCCAAGAATAGTCAGTCCATTCCCTTTCTATGTCCCTGATTCTATTATAATCACCAGTTCATTCTGTTCATCAGATTATTTATTCACTTGATTCTTAGATTCACTTGTTGATAGATGCATATTTGTTGTTCATAATTTGTATCTTTACCTTTTTCTTCCTCTTCCTCTTCTTAATGGATACCTTTCAGCATTTCATATAATCCTGGTTTGCTGGTGATGAACTCCTTTAGCTTTTCCTTATCTGTGAAGCTCTTTATCTGACCTTCAATTCTGAATGATAGCTTTGCTGGGTAAAGTAATCTTGGTTGTAGGTTCTTGGTATTCATCACTTTGAATATTTCTTGCCACTCCCTTCTGGCCTGCAAAGTTTCTGTTGAGAAATCAGCTGACAGTCGTATGGGTATTCCCTTGTAGGTAACTGAGTTTCTTTCTCTTGCTGCTTTTAAGATTCTCTCTTTGTCTTTTGCTCTTGGCATTTTAATTATGATGTGTCTTGGTGTGGTCCTCTTTGGATTCCTTTTGTTTGGGGTTCTCCGCGCTTCTTGGACCTGTAAGTCCATTTCTTTCACCAGGTGGGGGAAGTTTTCTGTCATTATTTCTTCAAATAGGTTTTCAATATCTTGCTCTCTCTCATCTTCTGGCACCCCTATAATTCTGATGTTGGTACGCTTGAAGCTGTCCCAGAGGCTCCTTACACTATCCTCGCATTTTTGGATTCTTTTTTCATTCTGCCCCTCCGGTTGGGTGTTTTTTGCTTCCTTGCATTTCAAATCATTGACTTGATTCTTGCGCTCCTCTGGTCTGCTGTCAGGAGTCTGTATAATATTCGTTATTTCAGTCCGTGTATGCTTAATTTCTAGTTGGTTCCCCATCATAACATCGAGGGTCTCATTAGTTTTCTTGTAGATCTCATTAAGTTTATCGGCGGCTTCTGAACAGTTCTTGAGAGACATTAAAAGTGTGGTTCTGAACTCTATATCTTCCATTGACAATTTTGTCCTGTTTCTTTGTCTCCGCATTTTGTTATGCTTTCTTGGTGCACCCCCTAGTGGTCTTTGTGGGCAGTCTTGTAGTTAAGCCTTGATTGTTGTAGCTAATTACCAGGGAGGGTTTGACCTCCAGGCCAAGTGGCTGTGAGAATCAGCTGTGTCTGCAGTGAGAGAACTTCTGTCCTCTAGGGAGGTGCTAATCTAGCCTTTGCCTGAGGCTATCCGGCAAATGCCTCTGTGCAGGGCTTGGGCAGGGCGGGTCGCACAGGATCAACAGGGTGGGCTGGAGAGAGCAGTTATGGCGGCTCTCAGTCCTGTCCCCAGGGGCTCTGCCTCTCTGAGTCCCAGCACCCACTGCAAACCTCGGAGAGAAAGCTGCACTTGCTCCGACCGAAGCCAGACAGTCCCGCTTCTCCCGTTTGAGTCTGGGTCCCTAAAGACTCGCCTGTATCTGGAGCTCAGAGTCTGCGACTCCCTCCTGATTGAAAACGCCAACCGCGCCCTCCGCCGCCAGCCCGCTCCGCGCACGCCGCACCTCAGAATTTGACTTCAGCACTGCGCCTCCTCTGAGTGTCCGTATGCATTTCTCTTTCCTCCTAGTTGTAGGACTTCCACTCAGCCAGCGTTCCTATGGTTCTGGGTGATGTCCGTTCCGTTTTTTAGTTTCACTTTTGAAGTAGTTGTTCAAGGCAGCAAACTCCGGCGTTAACCTATGCCGCCATCTTGGTTCTCTCCTAAAGACCCCTTTGAGTCTGCTGACAAATCAATCTAAGGGCTGCATTGCACAGTTGATTATATTGGAGGTGGGAAGTCTTGTAACTTTCCCTTTAGGCTTCTAAGAAATAAAGTGTGAGAGAAAAGACTTTTCTGTTCTCTGTGTGAAGTTAGCCTCACAAGGTTAGCAAGTCGCTATTGGTACATTTGTGTGTGGGATCAATTCTCAGGCTGGTTGACTATGAGGATCAATCTAGACCACAGTGTATGAGCTGCTGCAGGTGCCTCTTGGGAGGGACTCTGGTTCAGGTCAATATCAGATGCTGCCTGTGACTGGCCCTGGGTAATCTGTGTGGATCTGCAAAGCAATCCACAGTAACTTCTTTAGATTTATTTAATTTCGTGCCTCAGTGATCAAATCATTGTGTACTACTTTTTGAATTATCTATAATACTATTACTAGCTTTTTTCTCTAATACAAAAAATCTTAAGTAATTTTGAATATAACTTTATTATAATTAAATAGTTAAATACAAATAGAGTCCAGTTTTAATTCATTTTAAAGAAGCTTGTGGTATGTCATTAGTTCAGCTATTTAATATGCTATATAGCAGTTGAGAACAGAGCGCTGCACTTAGACCCTTGGGTTCCTGTTTCACTTCCAGCATTTCATTGTGAGCAGGGGGGAAATTTAACTTTTTCAGACTTTTATTTCCTCATCTGTAAATGGGGGATAGTAGTCATTTACATCTCATAACACATTATGGAAGCTAAATGAGAGAATACATGTAATAAAACTTTTCCAGTTAAGTATATTATAGAAATTTTAACTGTGCTCCAAAAGAAATTTTTCAGGTAAAATATTATAGATTGTGTCATGGCCTGATACATTAAAATTTATAAAAATGAATATTTGGAGGAGGCATTAAACACTTTTAGATTTAAGGAATGCTTGCAAACAAATATATAACTGGTCTTTATGGCTTTAATAGCTTAAAAGGATTTCTGCAGCTCCGAGTGACTTCTGTCCGGTCTGTGATATTGCATGACATTATTTTGAAGGCCCTTCTAGTCTCTCATTTGAAAAATGCTAAAAGTGATATCAGATCTGAGGGACTCTGTGGTATCCTTCTTCTTTAAGAGTTAGACATTATTAAATATGTTTATTTAGAAACTGAGATTGATAGTGAGATGACTGAATATTTTTGTAAGCATTTTTACAGAAAAAATGAAAATTACATCAGCTGGTGAAAATAAAAAAACTTTAAAGTGTTTAAATAAATGTGTTTTTATATTTTTCTGTTAATAATGAAGTCTTCCTGACTTTTAAAAAATTCTCAATGATTGTATTTTTAAATTCTATTTTTAGAGGCACATATGGTAGTATTTATTTTCTCTGCTGATAAAAATTTTAAATCTACAGTATTTTGCCCATTAGTATTTTTAGAACTGTAGCTGAGGTTTTACAAATCCCAAGGGTTTTATGAACATACAAAAAAGTTGCCTTTTTATTTTATGAGAATGTGACTATTTAGGATATTTTTATTTAATCAATGTTATACTTAAACTTTAGACCCCCCCCCTTCCCAAATCTGAATAAACTACCTGCTTAGTAAAACTAAAGCCACAGGATACAAGAGGCTTTAAAAGTTATAACAAAGATGCAAATACAAAAAATATTTGTTCACTAGTGACAATGAATAACTTTGTGTTAGAATGAAGTCCAGCTTCCCTGTGTGAGGCTATACTACATTTCCCTAATTTCGGTTGTTGTTTTTCACAATAAGACAAGGCTGTCCTGATTTGTCTTCTAGGTTTATATTGAAAAATAATTAAAAGTATTACTTTAAAGCCTTGCATACATAAAATATATGAAAAATAGAAGACAAAAGACTTTTTGTAAGTAATCCCCAAATCAATTGAGAATGTTAATTATAATTTAAGAGCATAATTATTCTTTATAGTTTTTAAGCATCAATTTAACAAAATAAGTTAAATGGTGATTTTTTCATCAACAGTATCATATAGATCAGCTTAGGAAATTTTATTTTAACCACTGTTGAACACATAAAGTGTAGTAAAGACTGAATAAATATTTCAATAAAAAAATCATAATTTTGTTACATGTTAGTATATTTTATAAGTCTTGGAGTTTTAAAATAATGGCTTTACAGGTCAGGGAAAAGTGCTTTATTTCAGAATAACTTGTTTGGAGAAATTTAATTGTTAATTAACAAAATTAAGGTGCCTGTTAATCATTATCATTTCTTAGTCACCATAATTACAGTCTGGTTTGTATTATTATTATTTTATATTAAGCAACTTTGCAATTTTCAAGAATCATTTCATGATACACTTTATTATTAAAAATTTGTGATTTTTAATTTTAATGTTCTGTTTGAATTTTAATAGCAAAATTTTCAAAAGCCATGATGCCCTGGCTGATTTTACTCAGTGGTTAGAGCGGTCAGCATCTTGGGTTTGATTCCCAGTCAAGGGCATATACCAGGATTGCGGGTTCCATCCTTACCCCAATCAGGGAGAATGTGTCTTTCTTACATCAGTGTTTCTCTCTCTCCCCTTTCCTTCTTTCTACTCTCTCTAAAAATCAATGGAAAAATTCTTGGGTGATCATTAACAACAACACCCAAAACAAAAAAAAGCCATGAAATTATACCCTGTTGCCCTCTTTTACTTCCTTCTTTGCCTCTTAGAATACAGTTATTGACCATTAATGTCAAGTACTTGTACTTAAAGAGCAGCCTGGGATTATGCTACAGATAAAACTAAAACTAGGACCACATTTTTGAGCAACACCATAACAGATGAAAAGGCCTAGAGACACTAACTATAATTTTAAAATAGTCACTTGTATTGGAGCAAAATGCTGAAATTGTTTTTCAAACTAAGCTTACTTTCTATAGTATTCTTTTTTACACTAATGTTTGTCAGCAATAAAATTAAATTGAATAATGGTTGTATTCTACATGAAGTCTGTATTGTAGTCACAAAGTCATTTATCACAAAAACAGTATGATTTCCAGGGAAGAATTTGTCAATGTACACAAAAGAGCGTGTACTAGTAAATGAACCATGTCCAGTATCTCTAGACGAGGAAAAACCAGCTTAGCTTAAGTGACCATACATATTTTGGTTATTCATGATACCTGAAGTATTTGAACATTTGATTATGTAAATCTTAGTTATTTTACCTGACCCCTTTGTTTTCATATTACATTAAGTTTCCTTTAAAAAATGATGTGGAACCCATCATTTCTTGTTTATGAATGGTTTACTGTTAGATATTAAAAATCATGTGAAAAGGAACCACCTTACATTTAGAATTTAGCAACAGTTGCCTTATATTTCCACCAAAGTGAGCTCTGCTTTTAAATATTTACCTGAAAACTCAGACTTGTATAACATCAGTATCCATTAACACTTGGATAGTTTGTGTCATTTGAAGGGTAAGTTTAGTAGTAGTCAAGTTCTGATTTTCATAAGCAGGGTTAATTATTCAAATAATCTGTGGTTTACTTGCTTTTCATATTTATGTTGCTTCTTTCTGGTTGTTTCCTCTTATTTTTCTCTCTCCTTTTTTCAGTATTTGTATGTATTGCAAAATGATTACCAGAATAAGTCTAGTTGCCATCACCAACATAGTAACATGCTAGTAAATTGTTTTGCTTGTGATGAGAACTTTTAAGATTTATTCTCTTAGCAACTTTCAAATATACAATACAGTTTTATTAACTATAGTCACCATGCTGTGCATTATATCCCCAGGACTTATTTATTTTATAACTGGGAATTTGTACTTTTTGACCCCCTTCACCCATATTGGCCACCTCCCCATTCCTGACCTCTAGCAACCACCAATCTGTTCTCTGTATCTCTGAGCTTCGTTGTTGTTTTTTGTATTTCACATATAAGTGAGATGCTATGGTATTTGTCTTTCTCTGACTTATTTCACTTAGCATATTGTCTCATATGGCAAAATTTCATTCTTTTTTATGACTGAATAACATATATATATTACATTTTTTTTATCCATTCACCCATTGATGGACACTTAGGTTGTTTTCCTATCTTGGCTATTGTAAATAATGCTGCAGAGAACATGGAAGTGCAGACATCTTTTTGAGTTGGTGTTTTCATTTTCTTCAGATAAATAACAAGAAGTGGGATGGATGTATCATATGGTAGTTCTGTTTTTAAAAATTTGAGGAACTTCCATACTGCTTTTCATAGTGGCTATACCAATTTGCATTCCTGCCAACAGTGCACAAGGGATCCCTTTTCTTCACATCGTTGCTAACACTTGTAATTTTTTTATCTCTTGCTAATAGCCATTCTAGCAGGTGTGAGGTGATATTTCATTGTAGTTTTTATTTTACATACTAGAGGCCTGGTGTATGAAAATTCATGCACTGGAGGGGGGCCCCTTAGCCTGGCCTCCCCCTCTCACAGTCTGGGAGCCCTCAGGGGCGGGAGGCGACCCGGCAATTAGGGGAAGGCAACTCCCCATCACACCTCTGCTGTTGCCACTGCCAGCAGCACCAGCCTCGGCCGGCCCTGGTTACCTGAGCCTCGGACGGCCTAGGTGGCTGGGCAGCTGCCATCCGAGGCTTGCCTGCACCTCGACTGAGGGGACTGGGCGTCGCCATCTTGTGGCTATGGGTGCTGCCATATTTGTAATGGCGTGATGGTCAATTTGCATATTCCCTCTTAATTAGATAGGATTCCTGATGATTAGTGCTGTTGAGAAATTCTTCATGTACCTTTGGCCATTTGTATGTCATACTTGGAAAGATGTCACCTGAGAGATTCTCTACTCGTTTTTAAAATCGGATTGTTTTTTTCGCTATTGTGTTATATGAGTTGTTAATATATTTGGGATATTAACCTTTTACCAGATATATTGCATTTACTGTCTCCCACTCACTAGATTGCCATTTTCATTTTGTTGCTGGTTTCCTTTTCTGTGCAGAAGCTTTATAGTTTGATGTAGTCTCTCTTGGAGCTTACAATCTATCCTTTCTTCTGGTAGTTTTATGGTTTCAGGTCTTACATTTAAGTCTAATCTAGTTTGAGATAATTTTTGTACATGATATAAATAGTGGTCCAGTTTTATTATTTTTTGCATGTGGCTGTTTAATTTTCCCAACACAATTTATCCAAGAGACTCTCCATTCCTCATTGTATATTCTTGGCTCCTGTGTTGTAAATTAATTGATCATATAGGCATGGGTTTATTTCTGGGCTCTCTATTCTGTTCCATTGATCTATATGTCTAGTTTTACACCAATACAATACTGTTTTAATTACTTCAACTCTGTAATATATAAGGTGGGGCAAAGGTACAGATGTGAACACGTGAAACACAGAGTTTATTCTTGTATTATTATTTATTAATTATTACATTAGGTTCTAATTGAGCAATTGTAAACCTTTGCCTCACCTTGTAGTTTGAAATCAGGGAGCACGATACCTCCAGCTTTCTTCTTTCTCAAGGTTGCTTTGGCTATTTGGGGTCTTTGTGGTTCCATATAAATGTTAGAATTATTTGTTCTAGTTCTATGAAAAATACCATTGGAATTTTGATGGGCATTGAATCTCTAGATTGCTTTGGGTAATATGAACATTTTAACAATATTAACTCTCCCAGTCCATGAACACAGACTGTCTTTTAATTTATTTGTTTCTTTCATTGATGTTGGATAGTACTCAGTGTCTCTTTGTTGTTGTTGTTTTATAGGCTCCTTTGTGGTAATTTGACTGGGAGGAATTAGTGATGCATGTAGTGGGAATATCACTTCATCCATTTCTTTCTCTACATGATAGTGTAGTCATTCCAACACAGTACTTTCAAAGGACAGGGCCATCCTTGTGACCCCTATCAACCTGTTTCCCATGATGCCTAGATAGTTTCTTGACATACTTGCAATTTAAAACTCCTTTGAATTATCTTGTTCTTACCTCAATGGTATTTTCACACTTTTTATTTTAAGTATCAGAAGTGTTCAGCTCATTCGCTTTCTCACGAACTGAACACATTTATGTAATTAGCCCTCAGAATAAGAAATAGGATGTTACTAGCACCCGTGTAATTCTGAATTTGTTTCCTTTCTCCTCAAGAACTAATTATTTTGCATTTATTTCCTTTCTGTTTTTCTTCTATGATTAAATGGAATGTAAGTAGCAATTCATAGCTTGGTCAGAGTGCTTCATACATACATAACCATATTTGCTTTATAGAGTACCATTGCTATTTGTTAAAAAGTAATTTAAACTTTTTAAAATATACTTTTCCTTCTATCCCCCACCCCTTTAAAATTTTATACTGTGATTTTCTTTAATTGTTGGTCTAAAAGTACACACTCATTTGGAAATGGTTTCCTGTGTGTTTTTAGTGTGTAAATTCAAGGCCCACAAAAGGTGTGCAGTGAGGGCCACAAATAACTGCAAGTGGACGACTCTGGCCTCCATCGGGAAGGACATCATAGAGGACGAGGATGGGGTAAGCCCTCTTCTGTCTCTGACCCCTTCCCAGCACCTCTTCTCTTTTACTTTCTGTCCCGGGGAAAATACTGACAGATCTACATGGGAGGGTTTACTATTAGTCTTAAAAATGGAAACATTTGGTTAATTATGAGTTTTTATTTTCAATTAGGTCCCTACCAGGTTCCTTCAGCTCTTAAAGTTTAAGGGAAATGTGAATAGGACTTAAGAATGGTGCTGGGCTGGTGCTGCGGAGCCTTATCTGACAAACTAAGATATTTTTTAAGGCTTAGCTCAGCTGTTTACTCAGATCTTAACTCCGCAGACTTCGGGGTCTCCTCTCAACGGTGCCCCTCCTTCAAAATCTTGCCTCCATTGCACCTTGCATACAAATATCTGGTAGCACTTTGTGACCCCTGTGATAATGCCTTTTACATGCCTTTCTCCTCAACTAGACTACAAATCCTGAAGGCCAGGGATTTAGCCATATGTATCTTTGTACCTCTAAAGTGCTTAGGACATAGTACATGCTCAATAAATCTGGGGTAAATGAACGTATGCTATGAGTGATACATATTATTGATTTCTTAGAGTAAGATTCGATTGTATATCTTCCTAGGGTAAGAATGGTGTCCTCCACAGTCTTTAATTTGACTGTGCTTTACTCCTGCTGCACAGGTGGCTATGCCTCACCAGTGGCTAGAGGGTAACTTGCCTGTGAGTGCCAAGTGTGTTGTCTGTGACAAAACGTGTGGCAGCGTTCTTCGCCTACAAGATTGGAAATGCCTTTGGTGTAAAATGATGGTGAGAGTCCTTTTTAATTAGCTTCTTTTCATCACTTTTACGTGTATGTGATTTAGAGGCAAAGAATTTATGGCGTAGCAGAGCTGGATAGCACACACACCCATTGTAATATTTATCTTTTTAAAAGTGTATCCCTCCCAGTCTGGTTACTTTTTTACATAACCTTTTTGTAATACTTATCATATGTTTCCTTTGTCTAAAGGCCTCTTTCCCACAGTTTTATTGTTTTTCATTATGCTTGAGTCACACTAGGTGGTTTGCTATTTTTCAGGCCTGACATCTACCTTATAAAATTCTTATACAATCTAATGAAAATAAGCAAAATCTGTCTTATGTCCACTTGTTTTGCAATGATCCTGTAGCTTTGTATTCACACCTCTTTCATAACATTTTCATGTTATTATAGTTACAAGTACATCCATGCCTAGTTTCTCTGGCCTTGCAAGGAAAAGGAAAAGGAAAAGGACCTATTACACACTCATCTTGAAAAGTGATGTACATCAGAGGCGCGAAGTAAACGTAGACACAAAGTTTCAAGGTCACTCAGAATAACTATTGAGAACAAAAAACACAGGGCTAACGTACTTATTAAGCAGGACCCAGGCAGGCAACTTAGGATACTTTATGAACTCACCTTGAGAGCCTTTAAATGTTCTAACCAGCCTGGCCAGAGTCGCTCAGTTGATGGAGCATTGTCCTGTCCACCAAAATGTTGCTGGTTCAATTCCGGTCAGGGCACATGCCTGGGTGTGGGTTTGATCCCCAGTTGGGAGTGCACTGAAGGCAACTGATCGATGTTTCTCTCTCTTCCTCTCTCTAAGCATGTCTTCAGGTGAGGATTGAAAAAAAGAAGTTCTAACCATAAAAGCAGAAATTTCATGAAGCACTTACTTAATATGTTGTTATTTCATTAGTCCTTTTAGAAAACTAGTATATTAATTTAACATGTATCTATAAACTTTTGGGAAAATAACCAAAATTTAATTCTTGTTCTGGTGATGACCCAATTTTGGACAATTTTCTAATATGATTTATAATAATTAACAATCCAAATCAATTTTAGAAAAACAAGCATGCACAGATAGTTTTAAAAGGAATAAAAAATATGTAAAAATGGGACAAAACTGAAAAAATATAACAATGTTAAATGAGAAAAGTAGAAGATAAAAATTCCAACTTCACTATTTTTACAGAATATGTAAAACCATGTCCAGAAACTGGACAATAGGTGGAAAATTAGGAGTTGACTCATTAGGGATGTAGAACTATGGTTTGGTTTTTAACTAGATGACTGTGTTTAGACACCAAATATTCTGCTGTTAAAAATCGTATTTTAAAGGCAAAATAATATATTAACAGAAAAATGAGAGTTTATAGGAAGTATAGACTAAGACAGGTGTAACAAAGGCGACAGTAGCCCAGCAACCAACACATCTAACTGACAGAGTGGGGAGGAATGATTTCACAATAAGGTGGCACTTATGTTTGTCAGGGAAGAAAGAGGGAAAAGAAATTTAGGAATGACCTTTTCTATAAAAGACATTAAAGGTGAGGGCAAGTAGAATGAGCAAATAAAAAACCTAATTTACTCCTACCTAAAGTTTAAAAACTACTGACTAAATACAAGTAGAAACCTGTATATTGCAGGTAAAAACAATTTATATAATACTTTTAGAAAATAACTTCATCATATGTGATCTTTCTTTTTAAAAAGTTAGAAAAAAAAGCTGAAGTTCTTGAAGTAGAGAAATTAGACTTTAGTAAATGTGGAGTGATAAAAATAGCAGTAGGGCCGAAACCGGTTTGGCTCAGTGGATAGAGCGTCGGCCTGCAGACTGAAAGGTCCCAGGTTCGATCCCGGTCAAGGGCATGTACCTGGGTTGCGGGCACATCCCCAATAGGAGATGTGCAGGAGGCAGCTGATCGATGTTTCTCTCTCATCGATGTTTCTAACTCTCTATCTCTCTCCCTTCCTCTCTGTAAAACATCAATAAAATATATTAAAAAAAAAAAATAGCAGTAGGTGCATATATCACTGGTTGTTCCCCAAAAAGACATCTTAGGTGGAATGAAAATTTAAACTCTTGGTTAGGGAGCACTCCTTTAAAATAAGGAATGGCAAAAGAGGGTTTTAGGGGTGGGGTTGCACTAAGACTCCAAGGAGAGCTAGTTTATATTAAATAGTCTATATTATATTAAATGGGATAAGAGAAATAAAAAGTAATGCCTATGGCTGACAAAAGAGGCAACTGAGCCCCAGCCGGTGGTTTAGTTGGTTGGAGTATCGTCCCATACACCAAAAGGTTGCGGGTTCTATTCCCATTTAGGGCCCATACAGGAGGCAACTGATCAATGTTTCTCTCTCATATCAGTGTCCCCCGTTTCACCCCCCCCCCCCCTGCCTCTCTCCTCCTCTCTCTAAAATCAACAATCATATCCTTGGGTGAGAGGAAAAAAAAAAAAGAGGCAACTGAGGAAGAATAATACAAGCAGGAGGACAAAGAGAATCATGTTCAAATTAAAAATGATAAGGAGTCCTGGCTTGTGTTTTCCAGTGGTTAGGGCCTGCACATCTGAGGTTCTTGGGTTTGATTCCAGGTCAAGGGCATGTACCTGGGTTGCAGGTCCCATTCCTGCGACCAGGGCTGTTGGGAGGCAACCAGTTGATGTGTCTCTGTCACATCCACATCGATGTTTCTCTCTCCTCTCCTCCTCCCCCCCCCCTTGTTCTCTGTCTCTCTTCCCCTCTCCACACCCCCTTCTCCTTCTCCTTCCTTTTACTCTCTCTAAAATCAATGGAAAAAATATCCTCACTCAGGTGAGGAGTATTAAAATCCTATATAATAAAAGGCTAATGTGCAAATTGACTGAATGGCTGAACGACCAGTCACTATGACACACACTGGCCACCAGGGGCAGACACTCAACGCAGGAGCTGCCTCCTGGTGGTCAGTGCATTCCCACAGAGGGAGCGCTGCTCAGCCAGAAGCCAGGCTCATGGCTAGCGAGTGCAGTAGCAATGGTGGGAGCCTGTCCTGTCTCCGAGGCAATGCTAAGGACCTCTTGGGGGATGTCTTCCTACCGGCTTAGGCCCCCTGGGGAGTGGGCATCTCCCAGGGGTCCTGGACAGCAAGAGGACACAGGCCGGGTTGAGAAACACACCCCTTCCTCCTCCCCCCCGCCCTCCCCCCCTCCCCCCAAGTGCACGAATATCGTACACCGGGCTTCCAGTAAATAAATGAAAAAGAAAAGGAACACAGATTACTTATTAGGCTTGAATAAAATATTATAGGACTTATTTTCCTCTGTGGCCTATGGAATTAATCTCATTATGAAATCAACATGTCACGCTCACTTCTCTTACATTTGCTGATCTACACCATACTTATGAAAGCAATGTTTTTTCCCACCCTCTTGGGGGTGTTGGGAGAGCTGACTTCCAAGACTCAAAACAAACAAAGCAGCCCGAAGGCCAGGCAATCACTGTCATAGTTGGACAGCGTCACCCAGTGCTAAGGTCAGCACTCACAGCTGTTATTACCTCCTCGCCCCGTTACCTCTAGCCCCCTGGCCACCCGCTGAGTTCCTGCCCTGACTGCAGTCAGAGGCCCTGTCCTCATGCAGTCCAGCACAGATGCACTTCCCACTGATTTCATGTTATGTTGGGCATTTCTTTCCTCTTTCTTGATATGGAATAAAGTTTTAAAATATTTAATTAAATGCTGTTTCAACACGTGGCCTACTGAACTCAGCATTCTGTCAGAGAACATACGTAGGATTGTAGCAAAATTATGTTTGTTTCATAAATATATTTTTATTGATTTCAGAGAGGAAGGGAGAGGGAAAGAGAGAAACATCAATGATGAGAGAGAATCATCATTGCACGTCCCCTACTGGGGATCGAGCCCACAAACCGGGCTTGTGCCCTTGACCAGAAATGAACCTAGGACCCTTGCAGGTCAATGCTCTATCCACTGTGCCAAACCAGCTAGAGCGCAAAATTACGTTTTGTATGTCCATCAAAATTTGGTGGCTTTCTGTAAGAATTTTATAAGGTAGATGTCATCAGTTTTTTAATGGACAATGATATTGATGTTACTGGTCACTTCTCTCCTTCCCCTCTCTTGCCTCCCTTTCCTCCTCTGGCCCTCTCCTGGCCTTCGCAAGCATTCATTGACTATATACTACTTGCCTGAGACAATCTTGAAAATATACTTCACAGACAAAATCAAATTCCCATCTCTAAAAAGATTAGCCCATTACAGGGGTGGGCAAACTTTTTGACTCGAGGGCCACAATGGGCTCTTAAACTGGTCCGGAGGGCCGGAACAAAAGCATGGATGGAGTGTTTGTGTGAACTAATATAAATTCAAAGTAAACATCAGTACATAAAAGGGTACGGTCTTTTTTTTTTTTGAGTTTTATTCATTTCAAACGGGCCAGATCCGGTCCGAGGGCCGTAGTTTGCCCACGGCTGGTTTAGAAGCATAAATATTGTGCCACTAAATTTATGAATTACTGAACATTTTGTGATGTAGTTGATCCTCAAAGTATCAGTTTCTTAGCTATAACTTATAAGTAAATATTGATTTGTTTTTATGATTCTTAAAAATTTATTTGTTTGTTATTAGGTACACACTGCCTGCAAAGACTTATACCATCCTGTATGTCCACTTGGCCAATGTAAAGTGTCTATAATTCCTCCAATTGCACTAAACAGCACTGATTCTGATGGTATGTAGCAATGGTGTGAGTATGTATATTTCCGATATATTGAAAGTTGATATGTACGTTTATTTTCCTAGAAAAAATAGAATTATAACTGTTATCCTTATCCGTTTTTATATACTAATTCTATTTAAATTGCTGAACAGTACATTTAATTTTTAAAAGAACATTTTAAAATTAAAATTTTATATAGCTATTAACACATTGGTGAACTTTCTGTGTATAAGACTTTTAGATTTTACATTTCAGCAAATAAGATCATTATTCTGTTCTGAAATGTAATCCAAAAATTTTAATTTTTTATGTGTTTTTTCCCCTCTATATTGAAACTGCCCATTAGCATATCACTTATTTAGAAATCTGTTTTCTTATCATTTCAATGCAGGAATTTATATTACTATAAATTTATTTACTTTTTCCAAAATCTTACAACTTAGTTGTAAGTGCTGAGGAATGTGTTTACAACACTGGTTTTGGAATAGCAAATTAATAACTTTCCAAGCAAACCATATTATAAAAGGCTTTTATCATATATGATTAATGTTTTGCATTGATAAAGTGCATTATGATTTTCAAACTTTTTATATAAATTATGCCAATTATAGATACAGGGATACAAGCCTCAAAAGTTATGACTTTTTTAAAACCTATGGTATTAAAGCCCTCCCTCTACAAGCCCTGATATATCAATGTTCTGTTGTTTATTATAAACTTTAAAGTATTTGTTCAGGCTTCATCAATGAGCAGTTAAAATCCTTTATAATAAAGATGTAATATGCAAATGGTCATTACATAGCGACCAACCACGTAACGACCAGATCACGGATCAGCAGGAAGGTGGGGCAGGGAGCTACAAGTGGACGATGGAGAGCTACAGGAGGGGGCAGGGCAGCAAGCTATGAGGGCGGTGGGGGGAGTAACAGGAGGGCAGGGCAGTGGGCAGAGAGCTATAGGAGGGCGGCAGTGAGCTACTGGCACATGGATTCATGCGCAGGGCTACTAATCCTATAAAATAAAAGCCTAATATGCTAAGTGTCTGGTCGTCTGGTTGTTCAACCAATCAAAGCATAATATGCTAATGATATTCTAAGGCCACGCAACCAATTGCTATGATGAGCACTGACCACCAGGAGGCAGACACTCAACTGGTCGACCAGTCGCTATGACGTGCACTGACCACCAGGGGAAGACGCTCAATGCAAGAGCTGCCCCCTGGTGATCAGTGCACTCCCATAGGGGGAGCACTGCTCAGCCAGAAGCCAAGCTCATGACTGGCGAGTACAGCGGTGGTGGCGGGAGCCTCTCCTGCCTCCACGCAGTTGGACATCCCCTGAGGGCTCCAGACTGCGAGAGGGTGCAGGCTAGGCTGAGGGACCCCCCACCCCCACCCCCACCCCCAAGTGCATGAATTTCATGCACTGGGCCTCTAGTACTTTATAATACTAAATACAAGAACATAGACTGATTGGTTTTCCTTATAATTGTTGTTAAAGTAGGTCCTACATCTCAAATTATCTCTGATTAATACTTTTACCATTTGTTATGATTTTTCATTATAGAGCATATTTTAAAAGATAACTCCTCTCTCTATATATTTATATTTTTAATATGTAAATAATAAACCAATCTCCAGTTGGGGGGCTAATTTATAACTTATTGTTAAAGTAATGAACCTGGTTCTTTATTTTTATGACTTTCTCTTCTTTTCTCTGGATTTTTGTTAGTTTAAGAGAGGAAACTATGCATATTGATCTTGTCCTGTGTTTTTTTACAGGTTTCTGTAGAGCAACGTTTTCATTCTGTGTTAGTCCTTTACTGGTTTTCGTCAACTCCAAGAGTGGAGATAATCAGGGAGTCAAGTTCCTTCGACGGTTTAAACAGTTACTAAATCCAGCTCAGGTGTTTGATTTAATGAATGGAGGTCCTTATTTAGGGTAATTGATTATTGATAAGTCTCTTTTAAATGAAACAGCACTAAGCATGAAATGTGTCTGGCTTTTCAGTTCATGAAAATTGTAGACTCATTTAGACATCTCCGTGTTGATCTTCTCCTCCCTTTTTAAAAATTCTAATTATAAATTTAACACAACCTCTTTGATATTGATATAACTTCCTTGTGTGATACAAATTCCAAAATGTGTTTAGAAAGTGTTTTAGATCGTATCTTACATCAATCAAGCACTCAGAGTGTGCTGAGCTCTAAGATAGATAAATGTGAAAATATAGAAATACAAGCTAACTTTAGAAATTGATTTGCATGGAAGACTTGTATTGATTTGTATGTAATACAATCAATTGTTTAACTAAAGTATGGTTACTATCATGGGTCTCTAGGTAGTTCCTCCAGGATTTCAGACTCACTCCATACAAATGGCAAAGAAATGCTTTTCTTCATTGTTTCAGCTATCTGGAATGTCATTTAACATAAAATCTGAAAAAATATTAAATATTTTCAGTGAAGGAAAATGTGCCTTGAAGCACTGTCAGAACATGTATGATTTTTGTTGGAGAACTGATATTGTGTCATTTGAACCAGAGCCCAGCATTCTCTATGATTTATTTATGCCAACTCTGCTTTTCTCTAGGGTTCCACCGTCACCTTGATGCATGAACATAAAAGTAGAAATGGGGATTTTCAGATTTTTCTGTCTTCCATATTTCTCTCCTTACTCTTTTCTTGTCCCTCTTTTCACTTTTGTTCCTTTTTATTTCCATTGCCTTTTTCTTGCAGAGTTCAGGCCCTTTGATCACTGGTGTTGGTCTTTTTCATGTGTACCCAACTCCTTCCTTATCTACGTGGACATCCCTCACTTCCCTTTCTTTGGGTCCTGGCATTTCCGCATCTGGCCTCTCTTCTCACCTTTATCTCTCCCATTGCTGGTTAGCTCTGTCTCCTTTCTAGTACATTTGTTTTATAATCCTTTCTAGTTCTTATATCTTATATTCTTGGTATTCGTTATTTCCACCCAAGGAACTTTCTTTGTTAAATTTCTTGAGGTTATCTCTGTAACATACTTTTTAGATTTCCCACCATACTTGAGCTATGCAAAGGTACACTCAGGAGGTGGGGCATGTCAAAAGTTGAGAGGCAGGGAAATAGGAGTAAAACGATTGACCTGAGACTAGGAGAAGAGGAGGAGAACAACTGACAGGACTACAAAAACTGACACATTGTCAAGGTTTGGGATTTCTTTAGGAGCTGCCACTCAATAGCAACAGTGCCCTAGATGCCCACCCCTGGTTTGGAGCTTGCTATGCTTCAGGAAGTAACTTAGCCTTGTCATGGGAAGAAAAAATTACTACTTTTACCATCTTGTATCACTTATCTTTCATTCTCTTTCCTGGGTTCTGCTTCTTTTTTGTCTTCTTATTTCTTCTTTCCCTTTCCTTCTAATTTTACTTCCATTTCTACTTATAATCCTCTTTCCTCTTTATGATTAAGAGGTTTTATTGAGTTAAAATTGTACTTAAATTAATTTTATAGTATAATTATTATGTAAGAGTTCTTATATTTAATCTGAACATGAACACCAATAAATATAGAATAACATAGAATTAGGGAAAGTGAATTTTTTTTATTTATATTAAAATAAAACACTTTTTACTTTCAGTTTAAGATTATTCCAGAAGTTTGACAATTTCCGGATTCTTGTTTGTGGAGGAGATGGAAGTGTAGGTTGGGTTTTGTCAGAAATTGATAAGCTCAACTTGAATAAACAGGCAAGTACTAATTCTTTTCATTGCTAGCTAACATGAATGTGTACTAACCGGCTGACAGAGAAGTGTAGAACTGTCATGGACCCAATCTCTCCCCTGTCTGAGGTCTCCTGTTGTGCTCTCTTCTAGTGTCAGCTTGGAGTGCTGCCTTTGGGTACCGGAAATGACCTGGCCCGGGTTCTCGGCTGGGGTGGTTCATACGATGATGACACTCAACTTCCCCAGATACTAGAGAAGCTGGAACGAGCCAGTACTAAAATGCTGGACAGGTAAAAGTGAATTATCTCCTATATCTAGTTTGAAAATGGCATACTGCAATCTTTTTTTTTTTTTTTTTTGAGAACTTAAATTTTGCTGACTGTAGGCCCCTTGAGGGCAGAGACTTCCTGGTCCTGTCCACGCTCTCACCCCTGAGGTCTAGAACAGAGCCCAGAAGAGAGCAGACACTCTGTATATTGAGTAGACACTCAATCAATATATTTTTTGAGTGAGTGAATTGTAGCAAAAACTAGTCTAATGAACCCGTTATTTTAGAGATAGAAGGCTCAGCTTTAAATGGTTAATTTGGGGAGGGGGCCTTTCGATGATTATCATCTTGTGGTTTCATTAAAGCTAAAAAAGATCTATAAAGTTTGGATTTGTTAGAGTATCTTTTTTTAATGATGCTTATGAAGAATGAATTAAACCAACAAAGAACTAAATACTAAAAGAAGAGAGATGCATCTGGAAGAACTATCACCCTTTATGGTCCCCTTGGTCACATCTCCTCACTGCTCTCTCTCTAAATGCTCCACATGGAAAGAAGAAATCACAGTGCATGTGTTCTGAGCCTTACGGAGGAGGTTTTAGAATTTAGGTATAGGGGACAACAGGACTCAGTGAGCAATAACCTCTCCACCCCCATAAGAAGACAAATGTCAAAATATGAAGGCAGGGGAGGGGGGGTAAGAGATCAACCAAAGGACTTGTATGCATGCATATAAGCATAACCAATGGACATAACTAGAGGGAAGTGAGGGCATGTGCTAGGGGGTGGGAATGGCCGGGGAGAAGCCAATGGGGGGAAAAGGAGACATATGTAGTACTTCAAACAATAAAGAATTTAAATTTTAAAAAAGAAGATAAAAGTCAAAATATCGTTATAAACTTGAGTTTATAATGAATCAAAACAGCTTTGATAGGATTAGCCATCTGTGGAACTCCTCTGGAAAGTAACAAAATCATCAGGGAGCCACCCATCTAAAATGTAATTGCTCTCAAATGAGCTATAATCTAATTAATTATAAACTTGCCTGTCGTAAGGTAATGTGGAAATGGTTAATTCTTTTGCTGACAGAATATTTAAAAAGAGAGTTGGGCCATAGAACATTTATTTCTATTTATCCCAAACACTCCTTTTAGAAAAAATTTTTCATTAAATTTACAGTTGACATTCAATTTTATATTAGTTAAAGTGTACAACATAGTGGCTAGACATTTATATAACATACAAGGTGAGAGGGATACCCCCAGTAGTGTGGGTGCAGAAAGTGGATTTTTTTTTAAATTAAATCTTTATTGTTCAGATTATTACAGTTGTTCCTCTTCCCCCCCCCCCCCCCATAGCTCCCCTCCACCCGGTTCCCACCCCACCCTCTGGCCTTACCCCCCACCCCACACTGTCCTCATCCATAGGTGTACTATTTTTTTCCAATCTCTTCCCGCACCCCCCCACACCCCTTTCCCCCCCGAGAATTGTCAGTCCACTCCCTTTCTATGCCCCTGATTCTATTATATTCACCAGTTTATTCTGTTCATCAGATTATTTATTCACTTGACTTTTAGATTCACTTGTTGATAGATATGTATTTGTTGTTCATAATTTTTATCTTTACCTTTTCCTTCTTCTTCCTCTTCTTAAAGGATACCTTTCAGCATTTTATATAATACTGGTTTGGTAGTGATGAACTCCTTTAGCTTTTTCTTATCTGTGAAGCTCTTTATCTGACCTTCAATTCTGAACGATAGCTTTGCTGGGTAAAGTAATCTTGGTTGTAGGTTCTTGCTATTCATCACTTTGAATATTTCTTGCCACTCCCTTCTGGCCTGCAAAGTTTCTGTTGAGAAATCAGCTGACAGTCTATGGGTACTCCCTTGTAGGTAACTGACTGTTTTTCTCTTGCTGCTTTTAAGATTCTCTCTTTGTCTTTTGCTCTTGGCATTTTAATTATGATGTGTCTTGGTGTGGTCCTCTTTGGATTCCTTTTGTTTGGGGTTCTCTGAGCTTCCTGGACTTGTAAGTCTATTTCTTTCACCAGGTAGGGGAAGTTTTCTGTCATTATTTCTTCAAATAGGTTTTCAATATCTTGCTCTCTCTCTTCTTCTGGCACCCCCCATAATTCGGATGCTTGAAGTTGTCCCAGAGGCTCCTTACACTATCTTCATATTTTTGGATTCTTTTTTCTTTTGGTTTTTCTGGTTGGTTGTTTTTTCTTCTTCATATTTCAAATCTTTGACTTGAATCTTGTGATCCTCTAGTCTGCTGTTAAGAGTCTGTATAATATTCTTTATTTCAGTCAGTGTATGCTTAATTTCTAGTTGGTCCTTTTTCATAACCTCGAGTGTCTCACTAGATTTCTTGAGGGTCTCACTAAATTTATCGGCTGTTTCTAGAAAATTCTTGAAAAACCTTAAAAGTGTGGTTTTGAATTCTATATCCAGTAGTTTTTTTTCCTCCATTTCTGTAATTTGTGACCTGTTTTTTGTCTCCTCATTTTGGCTGCTTCCCTGTGTTGATAGAGTGGTTTTTGTGCTAGGTGTCCTATAGGGCCCAGTGGCTCAGCCTCCCCAATTACCTGAGGTGGACACTCTTGGTGCACCCCTTTGTGGGCTTTGTGCACAGTCTTGTTGTAGTTATGCCTTGATTGTTGTAGGATCACTGGGAGGAATTGACCTCCAGGCCAATTGGCTGTGAGAAATTGCTGTGTCTACAGTGGGAGAACTTCTGTGCTGGAGACACCCTTCTGGGGCAAGACTTGCTTCAGTGGGGCTTTGGTGCTCACTGAGTCTGCCCCCTGAGTGTGTCCCTTATGGATCTGGATGGTTCTACTCTGACCACTGGGTACACTGGCTCTTGGATCTCTAAGGAGGTGCTAATTTAGCCTCTGCCTGATGCTACGCAGCAGGAGCTACAGAGAGATCTGCAGATTCCTCTTCTTTGTTTGGGGTTTGGAGGTGCCCAGATGAGGCCCAGCTATGAAGCAATGCAAGCTGCTGTGGGGCCTTGGGCTTTCTTTTGGATGTTCTGGGTCTCTCTGACCCAGCTACAGTTTGTTAGGTAACTTTAGATTGCAAAGGGCCAGGCCATTCATATGCAAAAGCCTCTGCGAACAGCTTGGGTGGGGTGAGGTCTCAGGGAATCACCAGGGTGGAGCAAACAGCTATGGCTGATCCTCCATCCTTCCCTAAGAGGACCCGGGTCTCACTGTGCCTTGGTAATCGCTGCAAGCACCTCTGAGAGAAAGCCGCCCTCGACGTCCGCCAGATGCCAGACAGTCCAGTTTCTCCCCGTATGAGTCTGGGTCCCCAGAGACTCTCCCAGAACTGGAGTCAGGGCCGTTGAGAGCTTGAGACTCCCTCCTGATTGAAAAAGACAACCGTGTCCTCAGTTGCCGGCCCTTTCCGAGTGCGCCTCCGTACCTCTGCACTTTACTTCCGCACCTCCTCTGAGTCTCAGTGTGCTTTTCTCTTTCCTTCTAGTTGTAGAATTTCCACTCAGCCAGCCTTCCTGTAGTTCTGGATGATGTCCGTTTTGTCTTTTAGTTGTATTTTTGAAGTGGTTGTGCGAGGCAGCAATTTCCGGTGTTTACCTATGCCGCTATCTTGGTTTCTGTCCAGAAAGTGGATTTAAACTCCAGTCTTTAAAGGAGCCTGGAGGTGATTTGTCAGACAGCTACCCAATTCTATGCTCACCAAACCACACAGGGTATTTTAAAGGGCTTATTGTTGCAAATTTAAATACCACACTCTCGTTTCATCCTACTCTGTGTGCTTTTCCCTCGTTATAAAAATTAACTTCTCCACATGGTCAGCAGAGAAATAGTGCCCCCAAGGTGAAATTTCTTGATACTTCTGCAAAAACATAGGAAGACATAAATAAATAAAAATAAAAAGGGGTTTAAAAACCTTTTAGATTTTTTTTGTTGTTAATCCTCACCTGAGGATATTTTTCTATTGATTTTTTTTAATTTTTTTTAAAGAGTGGAATGGAGGGAGGGGGTGAGAGAGAAAGAGACAGGGGCATGGATGTGAGAGAGACACACCAATTGGTTGCCTCCCACACACACCCTGACCAGCACAAACCTGCAACCTGGTATGTGCCCTTGACTGGGAATCAAACCCATGACCCTTCGATGCTCGGGCTGACACACTAACCACTGAGACACTGGCCAGGGCTAGATTTTTGAACCTAAAAAAAAACTATTATTAGAAACATCAGAACATTTTCCAGGCTTTATTAAAAAATATTTTCTAATTGATTTAATTTTTTAAAGTTTATTGGGATGACATCTATATATATAAAAGCCTAAGTAACCAAGCAACCGAACAACTGGTCACTATGATGCACACTGACCACCAGGGGGCAGACGCTCAACGCAACTGCAGCTTGGAGATTGCAGCAGAGCGGCAGCGAGCCTACCAAGTGGTGGCGGAGACGGCAGGTGCAGCAGGACCTAGATGAGCAGGAACGGCGCAGCGCCTGGCCGGTGCTCGGGCTCCCGGCCTCCTCCCTGGCCGCTTGCTGCTTGGATGTCAGACTGCTGGTTTCTGCCCGATCCCTGCCGGTGGCCTGCGGGAATCTGGCCAAAACCAGCAGTTCGACATCCCCCGAGGGGTCCCGGATTGCGAGAGGGTGCAGGCCAGGCTGAGGGACCCCACCAGTGCACGAATCCATGCACAGGCCACTAGTTAGTTGATAAGATCATATAGGTTTCAAGTGTACATTTCTGTGATACATGATCTGTATATTGCATTGTGAGCCCACCACCCAAAGTCAAATCATCTTCTGTCACCATATGGGCAAAGGGGCCAAATATATAGTGACAGAAGATGTTCCTGACTTTTCATTACTGTTTTTAAGGACCAGGTGAAAATATTTCTGTTTAATAATATTCCAAATTATCAAAACTTTTTCATATATTATCAATTGATTTAATCCTCAAAACAACATGTGGGATAGCTAATAAGCATTATTGTGACTTTCTTAGAAAGATGAAAACAGGTTTGTGGAGACAGAGTAAGAATGACATATTTTTGTCTGCCTGGTACTTCTTTTTAAAAATATGTATTTTTTATTGATTTTTTTTCGAGAGAGAGGAAACGAGAGGGATAGAGAAACATCGGTGAGAGAGAAACATCTTCAATAAGCTGCCTCCTGCACGCTCTCCACAGGGGATCAAGCCTGAAACCAGGGCATGTGTCCTGACTGGGAATAGAACCCGTGGCATGACTGGTTGTGACATGGAGAATGATTTTTTTTATAGGTAGTGTGCATTTATTTAATCTAGGATGGTGTTTTAGAACTTTGGGTTGTGATCCATTAGTAAGTTGTATAATTTAGTTATTAAATTACAGTGAGCATTATTTTAAAAGTGAAACAACAAAAATAGAAAAGTCAGAATGCATTGCATCTGGTAAAGAGGAATTATTAACATTTCTTACTTTGGGTCATGGCCTTAAAATGTTTGGAAGTCATGAATACACAGAGAATTGATAGGATATGGAAATCATAACTTATGAATTCAGCATTTTGTGAAATTACCAAAATTTCATCTCTTTTCCCATATTTGGTTGTTTTATTTTTCAAGTGCAGTTTATATTCAATCACATTTGGTTGTTTTAAAATACAATAAACCATAGTTCATATATGTGCCTGTTTTTGTATATGAAGTGAGACATAGCCAGTTTATTAAATTTTAAAGGAATTTTAGACCAAAGATTTTTCTCCCTTCAGGTGGAGTATAATGACCTATGAACTCAAATTGCCACCAAAGGCTTCTCTACTTCCAGGACCTCCAGAAGCACCTGAAGAATTTTATGTAAGACTTTAACCCTTTACCTATTTATTATATGAAAATGGGGGTGAATATCTTGAACAAATAAGAAAGCTTATAAGATATGGTAGCATGTTTACTTAATTTTATGTTTTATTGTTTGGTGTCTGGTCTTCATTGTCTTCTTACAGTCCTCTCCCAAGAGGATGGAATCCTTATGATCTAGGTTAGAGACCTTGCATGAACACTCACACCGGGAGTGTGAATTTAGCCATATCACTCACCTTCATCGACCTCTGTGACTTCATCTGTAGAGTGAGACTACCATGTTGCGAAGATTAAATGAGATAATGAGTGTGTGAAAACACCCCTCATTGTTCTCCCCGAACATTCCACCTGCCTCCTTCCTCTGACCAACAGGGTTCCAGGGAAGGCCAGATGATGACAGGTTCCTGTTGACTTTTACTCATCTTCTGCTTCAGCCATGAACACCTGTGTGATCAATAGGGTTAGCCCAGCTCCCCTAAACAATCTCCAAACACACCAATACTCATGGCTACAATACTATATACCTTTGTTGAGGGTGCATCAGAACAGGTCTACAGGTTAAGTCTGTTGATCAAGATAAAACAAAGGAAGAAAAACAGTGCACTTTATTCCATCCCTGCTATGGACCATTAATAATACAGTTTTTAGATGTTCTTAAAGATTCAGCATTCTGATTAAATCTCAAAGCCCTGGAGACTTACAACAAAACCAGATTTTTAAAGGATTATTCTCTGACTCACTAAGACCATTTGATCTATGAGAGCTTATTTTCCCCTCGAGGAAAATTCATCTGTTTATTTTACAGTTGAAGTCTTTGTTTTGTCATTAAGAAAATTATGATCTTGTCAAAACTAAGGAAAGGAATGGAAACTAGAAACATGGAGCTCTTCCTTAAGGAAACTAACTGAATTTTGAAAAACTTTTTCTGATATAAGGTAGCAAAAACTGCTTATAAAAATTTTGAAAATTTAGAGAGAGGAACCAAGATGGCAGTATAGGTAAATGCTGGTACTTGCATGTTCCCACAACCACATCAGAATTACAACTAAAATATAGAACCACCTGAAATCTTGAATGGAAGTCCTACAACTAGAGATTCAAAAAGAAGCCACATTGAGACTGGTAGGAGGTACAGGAGAGGCACGGAGTGGGCTAGTCTGACACCCATGTGTGGCATGTTTTTAATTGTGAGGGATATCCCATGCGGAGCAAGGAGTACCAGCCCCACACCAGGACCCTCAGCCTAGGGTTCCAGTGCCTGGAAGGCTTCTAGAGTCCCAGGCAGTTCCTCTTAAAGGGCCTGCCCATGGACTTACTCTAAGTCACTCCCTCTGAGCTATAGCACTGGGGCAGCAGGTTTACAGGATCCAGGGACATATGGAGAGGAACTAAATTGTCTGGCATCAGTGCAAGAACTCAGGAGCAGCTTTCTCCCAGACAAAAGAGTTGGGACCCACCCCCTCCCCCGAAACACACACACACACACACACACAGCTGACTGGCAGGAACCATATCTGAGTCACCATCAATCTGGGCCACACTGTCTGCCTCATCCTGAAGATTCCCTGAGACCATGCTCCACTCAATTTGAAGCCCCATCCAAACTCTTTGCAATTTATTTTTTATATGAATGGCCTGTCCTGGCTCAGGCTTCAGACTTTACTAAAATCTCGCAAACTGCAGCTGGACTCAGTGTTCCCGTACCTCGGTAAGTGGCCCCAGGCCTGACACTAGCAGCAACTTGCCAAGATTAACAGCTTGGTCTCTCCTGGGCACTTTCTAAGCCCAACAAAAATAGCAGCCATCTTCAGATTGCTCTGTAGCTCATGCTGGGTGGCCCTAGCCAGGGCATAGGCAGTGGCTGACTTTGCACCTCTTGGGAGACCCCAGAACCAATGCAACTGGTGTACAGCTTCAGACCACACCAGAATACCTTCTACCACATCCGTGAGTGATACACTTAAGGGGCGGACTTGGTGAGCACCAAAGTCCCACTGAAGCCAGTCCAGCTCCATGGGGTTATCCCCTGCATAGCAGCTCTTCCACTGTAGTTGCAGCTGGTCCTCACAGCCAATTAGCCTGGGGGTCAATTCCTCCAGTGACACCAACAGCAACCAAGGCTCAACTATAACAGGACAGTACACATAGCCCACACAGGAGTACACCTAAAGGGGTGTAACTGTAACACAGGGGTGGGCAACTTTCTTGTGAGTGCATGCCAAAACCAGCAAAATCTCTGACTCAAAATTCTTCTGCATGCCAACCCTAATTTTTTGAGAACATGTTCCGCCTACTTGATATCTCTTAAGGTGTATGTATGTGAAGAACCTTGAAGAAATAATAAAATTCATTCAAGCGACAAAAACACAGTATATGATGATGAAAAATACATTTATTTTTTAATGTATACATGTTATGTAAAATTATTTATTTATCTAAGATGCACCTACACTGAATTTATTTGAAAAATAAAAAAGTTGATATTAAGAAAAAAATTGTAAATGGAAGATTATAAGAGAGGGTTTCGCGTGCCAGCAAAAGTGTGCCATGTTTGGCACGCATGTCAGGGGTTGCCCACCCCTGTTATAACAGGACAGTGCACACAGCCCAGCTCAGATTCCTGAGGAGGCTGAGCCATGGGCCCTACAGGACACCTACTACACAAGGCCATTCTACCAATTCCAGGAGACATAGCAGCTCTACCTAATAATAGAAACAAACACAGGGAAGCAGCCAAAATGAGGAGACAAAGAAACATGTGACAAATGAAAGAACAGAAGAAATCTTCAGATAAAGAGCTAAATGAAATGGAAGCAAGCAAACTACTAGATAGAGTTCAAAACAATGGTTATAAGGATGCTCAAGGAACTTAATGAGAGCTTCAAGAAACTTATTGAAAATATCAAAGAAATGAAAAAGGACCAGTCAGAAATGAAGGATACACTAACTGAAATGAAGAATAATTTACAGGGAATCAATAGTAGAGTAGAGGATGTCAAGAATCTAATTAGCTATTTGAAATATGAAGAAGCAAAAAACATCCAATTAGAAGAGCGAGAAGAAAAGAAAATCCAAAAATATATAGAGAGTGTAAGGAACCTCTGGTACAACTTTAATTGTACCAACATTCACATCATGGGGGTGCAGGAAGGAGAAGAGAGGGAGCAAGAAATTGAAAATGTATTTGAAGAAATGACAGTAAACATCCCTTACCTAGTGAAAGAAATAGACTTACAAGTCCAGGAAGGACAGAGTCCCAAATAAGAGGCCCACACCAAGACACATCATAATTAAAATGCCAAAGGCTAATGACATGGAATCATAAGAGGAGCAAGAGAAAAACAATTAATTACCTATGAGTGCCCATACAGCTGTCAACTGATTTCTCAACAGAAACTTTGCAGGCCAGAAGGGAGTGGCAAGAAATATTCAAAGTGATGAAAGCAAGGACCTACAACCAAGATTACTCTACCCAGCAAAGCTATCATTTAGATTTGAAGGTTAGATAAAGAGCTTCCCAGACAAGAAAAAGCTAAAGGAGTTCATGACCACCAAAACAATATTACATGAAATGTTAAAGGGTTTTGAAGGAGGAGGAGGAGAAGGAGGAGGAGGAGGAGCAAGAGGAGGAGCAAGAGGAAGAGGAAGAAGAAGAAGAAGAAGAAGAAAAGATGAACAATAAAATGGCAATAAATACATATCTATCAACAGTTAAATCTAAAAAAATAAACGAATAAGGAATCAAACAAACAAAACTGATGAATAGAACCAGAGCCATGGAAACATGGAACAGACTGACAAATCTCAGAGGGAAGGTGGGGGGTGGGAAGAAGTTAGCCAAAGAACTTACATGCATATATGCATTACCCATGGACACAGACAATAGGGTAGTGAAGGCCTAGGGTGGGCAGGATCTGGGTGAAGGAGGTAATTGCAGTGGCCAAGGGTGGCAGGGGGGAGGGAGATATCTGTAATACTCTCAACAATAAAGATGAAATAAATTACTTAAAATTTTCAAAAATATAATAATATATAAAAAAGAAAATACAAATCTCATAATTCTACTACCCAGAGATAATTACTAGAGATTAATATATTGCCTGGCTGGTATGGCTCATCAGTTGATTGAGTTCTAAGAGGTAGCAAGTTCACTTTTCAGTCAGGACACATGCCCAGGTTGTGGGCTCCATCCTGGTAAGGGGCATGCAGGAGGCAGTCAGTTGTCTCTCATCGATGTTTCTCTCTATCACACTCTCTCTCAAAAAAAAGAAAAATCAATAAAAACATATTTTTAAAAAGAATAATATATTCATTATTTTATTTCCAGCAGCATTTTTATTTATAATATATTACTAGTGACCTGGTGCATGGATTCATGCACATTGAAAGGAAATTAATTAGAAGAAAGATCTGTGAAGTTACATCACTGAAAAAATTGCATGTCAAAATAGTATACTAGTATATAATATAGTATTATAAAATTAAAACATGCATGCAATTGGTGCCAGTGAGAGCTTTATATGTATCGCACATGCATGAGTCGACATTTATTTTTAAATTGCCAATGCATGTCATATGTACTGGCAATGAATAAATCACAATGTGGTTCACGGTTGAATGTCAACAAAAACAACCAAATTCAAAAACAACAATGTGATTGGTGCCAGCAAGAGCTTTACATGTATTGTGCATGTGGGAGTCAACACTTATTTTTTCTTTTTTTTTTTAAACAATGCTTATTTTTAAATTGCTAGTACATGTCATATGTACTGGCCGGTCAGACGGACATAAGGTTTGTCACTTAGCCTTTTATATATATACTAGAGGCCCGGTGCACAAAAATTTGTGCACTCGGGGGGAAGGGGGGGTCCCTCAGCCCGGCCTGTGCCCTCTCACAGTCTGGGACCCCTCGGGAGATAACGACCTGCTGGCTTAGGCCTGCTCCTGGGTGGCAGAGGGCAGGCCCAATCCCTAGGTGCAGCCCCTGGTTGGGCTCA